CAAGGATATGGACAAATTAGATAAATGGAGGGGGGAAAAACACTTTATGCTTTTCAGTACTACGAGTACTAGTCATACTCCATAATCAGTATAAACTTCTCTCTCTGCGTATTTGCAAGATGCTCGTGGAGGTGGTGCTTATGCAGGGTGTCAAAAGAATATGAAAAATCGACCGAACCAATCGAATCAAATCTAACTGAACTGATTTATATCATTTTTTCTATAAAACCGAGGACATTTATTTAAGTACATAACCGTCCCGAACAAATGAGATGGTCTTAATTTATAAAAAAAATTAAAAAATTCTCGAACCTTAACCGAATAACCTTATATGTAAATATATTTTATATATTAATAATATGTTAAATTTAATATATAAATATATTTTATAAAAAAAATTCAAATATAAATATATTCTAGGTCGTAGATACTATAATAGATACTCCATCAAACAATACGACAAAATATGCAAGCACTCCTATTAAATGTTTAAGGTCAAACAATACGGTAACAAAGTTTTATATTCTTGACATCTTGATGAAGAAGTGAAGTACTTATTCAAAAACATACTTGGGAAAGAAATATTATAATAATATTATATTTTGAGGTGATACTTTAAAAGTAAAAAATAAATAAAAAATTAATCGAACCGTACCAATACCGAAGAGAAACTGATATGATTGGGATGGTTTTAAGAAATCTAATGTTGGTTATATATTATAAAATACCCAAAAAATTGGGATGACATAATTTTTTTAAAAATAACCAACCGAACTGTCTCATTAACACCCCTAGCTTACACAGTACTACCTCCTGAAGTTGAGGTCTAAAGCTATGGCATATGGACCTACCTCAACCCCAAAAATTAGCTCCTGATGGGAGGTTTGTCCAAGTCCATATAAAAAGATCATATTTCCATCCCTCTACCGATGTGGGATGTCTTAATAGTGGAAAACGGTTAACTTGGAGGACATTCGTTGTAAGATTATTGAGTATTTCTATAGTAGTGTTTATCTAGATGGGGCTATTCATTGGGTTTCATGTACTAAGAATGAACATGGCGGTGGTTTTTCAAATAGTCTGTTGGTTTTTTATCTAACTGATGAGAAATTTAGTGAAATATGCTTTGCCACAATCGCTAGTTCATGTTTCTCATTTAGATTTGTCTGTTAGCTGTGTGGCGATCGAATTTCTATGATTTGGTATGAAAAGGGCTGAAATCGACTATGTGAATTATCATTTCATCATTTATGCTCATCTCACATCTTCGTCGTACTAAAATAAAACAAAAGTGAAAAATAAGAAACAATATCAACATTTTCCAAACCAAATGATGAAAACAAGTTCAAGTATCTATGCAAGCCTATCAGTTGTAGGTTCAATTTACAAGAGAATAACCAAGATTAGGACCCGTTTAACCATAAGAACTTTTCACTTCGTTCTTGATTTTTTTTTCCACTTTATTTGAAATTCAGTATTCAGCCATAAAGATGAAGAAAAGAACAACAAACAGAGAAAAATAGAGAAAAGACATAAAGTCACCACTAAAATTGTCTCGAATTTTCAAAAAGACGCTTTAACTTTGCAGGCGTCCTATTACCCCACAAATGTATGGAATATCTTTGTAAAACGACCATTTTGAGCCATTTTCTCACCTGGCAAGAACATGTAAGCATAACCTAGTATTGAATATCTTTCTTTTCATTTCTTTTGTTTCCCATTTCTCAGCTTTTCATGTCTCTTCGATTTCTAGGTCAAGCGATAGTGGAGTACTGGAAATCATCTGCTTCATTCTTTACGATTCTTCGACAAAATTCTTGGAGGAATAGTTGAGTAAACAAGGAATTGAAGGTTAACAAGTTAGGGTTTTCTTACATTATTTGAAAAAGATCATATTTTTAAGAAGAAATTAAACCTTATCACAAAAATATCTTGATTTCTCAAAACTAAATGAAATTAAGAAGAAATTAAGCCTTGAACAATTTCAAATTAAGTTTTTCGACTAAAAATTAAAGCGAATAGTTTTTGGGGAAGATGATGAATTCATCATAGAGTTCCAGCGGCTCTTTTGAGTTTGTTTGGGGAAGATGATGAAATTAAATGAAGTAAATAATTAGTAAAGAAAAGAATTGAAACATGACACCTTTTAATTAGTTTTTAGCACAAAAATAGACCTTCATGTGCGTGTTGTACGTGTTCACAAACCATGTGAGAAAATGGGTCAAATTAGTCCTCTTACAATTAAGATATTCAGTATTTTAGTGAGGTAATAGAACACCCGCAAAGTTAAGTTATCTTTTTAAAAATTCAGGACAATTTTGATATTGACTTTATGTCTTTTCTCAGAAAAATAAAATAGTGCCATGTCTGCACATTAAACATATGACGAATTTATTTCAGTTAATCTTGATGGTTACAAAAATCGGACATCAATAAGCATATTAAAAGTTCATACGGTGCAATAAATTTAGCAATTTATACCATGCTCTGCTAAATTATAAATCTAGCACAACATGGTATTGAAAGTCCATCAAATTCTCACAACTTTATAATATATACTACTAAAAGTTGATAAATTCTCACAAACTATACTACTGACAATACCGCATGATATGTTTTCAGAAACACAACGCTAAATCTTATTGCGTCTTCAGATTCAGATGCAACCCCACTGCTTCAATCAAGCAATAATAAACTCTCGGCGTATATTTGCTCAAGAAGAATGATTACCCCGACCATGGATATCAAGATCCTTCAATTCCCTGTTCTCTGGATTAAGCGATAAAAGATATGCAGGATACTGCACAACAAGAAATTCCCCATTTCTTATAAACTCAATAGCATCGATAATCCTACCATTCAAATTCACAACGAATTTCTCCATCCACGACTCCATTTTACTATACTGGTTCAAAACCTAGACAATACCACTATGAAATAATTGATCATAGTTGTGTTGTCTGGGTTATGAACTAGTATGGTAAAACAGAGACATGGATGGAGAAATTTGTTGTGGATCTGAATGGTGGGATTAGCGATGCTATTGGGTTCACAAAAAATGAGGAATTTCTGGTAGTGTTATATCCTAGATATCTTTTATCATATGATCCAGAGAGCAGAGAATCGAAGTATCTTGATCATATCCATGGTACGGGTGATTCATTCTTATTGAGCAAATACGTTGAGTGTTTAGTGTTGTTTGATTGAAGCAGTGGAGCTACATCTAAAGCTAAAGAAATAACTAAGATTTAGCATTGTGTTTATGAAAGCTTATTATGCAGTATAGTGTTGGAGATCCATATGGAGAACAGAAAAAACACAAAAGAAACTAAAGAATGATTGTCTCAATTTATTCATCTAAATACATAGGTATTTATACATAAGAAAAAATATTCTACATTTAATGTAAATTATACAAATTAATGTGCATAATATTCTAAAATTAATGCTACAGTACAATATTCTACACTAAATGTAATTACCTAGAATATCTCTTATATATATTCTGTTGTGCAAGATATTCTAGATATTATATTTACCTTAGAATATTGTGTAGCATTAGTTTTAGAATATAATGCATATTTATCTAAAATATCTCTTACACTGTTGTACATTTAGTTTTGAGTTAAATCGCACATTTTAATAGAAATCAGATATTAATACGCATATTAAAGTAAGAGATATTCTAGACATTATATTTAGTGTAGAATGTTGTGTAACATTAGTTTTAGAATATAATGCACATCTATCTAGAATATCTCTATCCCTCCCTTATATTAATTTATCACTTTTCATTTTGCACGGTACTTAAGAAATCATATATAAAAAGATAATTTTATTAATTCTCCCATTAAAAAATTTCTTGCTTACAAACAAATGTGAATACTTTCAAAAATAATTAATTGTACGGGTAATATAAAAATATAATTAATATTTTATTGATTTAGTATATTGATCAACTAATATGGGACAGAGACAGTACAAAAAAAAAGCTCATAAAGTTTGAACATGTGACCTAGACTTTAGAATTTCAAAGCCTAACCACTTGAACTAAGCACAACTTTTGTTTAATTAATGTCACCTTGCGGTACATATCCCTTTTATCTATTTTTCCCTTTTAATCGCATATACATATTTAATAAAAAAATTCAAGAAAGTAATGTCACGAGACACCCCATAAGCCTTCTTAAATCCGCCCTTGTCATCAACACAACTATTCACTTATTTAGGAACAACAAAGTTTAAGTGCAATTAGAAAGGTCCAAACTAGCACAAACAAATACAAAAATAAGCCTTTTTTACTTAATCTTATGAGAAAAAATAAGTTTGGCCAAACAGGCTTTAATCTTAAACTTGGTATTAGTTTAGCTTATTCTCAGGTGACAATCTTATCCAACTTGGTATCAGTTCATCTAATTGCTCAGGTAGCATAAATTAGTCTCGGTATTAATTACATGATTATAATTTTGGAGTAACTTTGTTCGTAAACCAAACGATTCCTAAAAATCAAATTTGCTATGTAATGTAATGTCACGATTCGAGACTATCCTTAGTCGTAACACGGTGCGTGGAGTCACTAGTAACCTCAAGTTAAACCATGATCTGCCTTGATACTAAGATTCATACATATAATAATTGAATATAACCATTGCGAAAGCTAAATTGAGATAAATCTAAAACAATGAATAGTCAAAATAGAATTCATTTGAACAAATCATAAAACTGAAACTATTGTCTCCAATTGCTGAAAAATGATGACATACTCCAATTGACATTAAACTCAATCGGTCCATCACAAATTGGCTAGCGAACGATACTCATTGCTTATCCATGATAGATGTTACTTATTTAAGTATTTCGAGGTTTATTTATCTATTTTGTACATTTTAGCAAACTTGGAGGATCAAAAATTGTTCAAAACTATAAATATGGAACCATTTTGTCATTTCTCGTATACTATATATATACACACTATAATTCCCTATACGGCGCCTCTGTTTTTTTTTTCCTCTGAGAGAAGAGAAGAGAGGAACAAAAAAACAAGAATGGGTTCATTGAGTGGTGGAAATGGAGGTTTATGGGGAATGGGATTTTTCCATTCTCAAGAATGGAATTCTGGAAGAAGAAGAAGAAGTAATGGTGGAAAATCGTCAAATTCAGATTCAGTGGATGCAAATAGTGGAGCTGGTTATCGTTTTCCTTTGAAGCAAGCTATGACTGCTAGCTCTCTTGCACTTACTGGTGACACCATAGCTCAGCTTCGTGACCGGTGGCTCAAGAACAAAGATAATCTTCCTGACCCATCTCATCCTAAGGTTAATTTTCTAAAAAAATCGAATTTGGTGAAATTTAAGGTTGCTTATCTAGTAAAATAACCAAATCTATTGGATTTTGGAGTTGTGGGGTTTGAAATGTTGGTATTTCTTGAAACCCCACTTGGATTTCTTGAACCCATTTTGGGAATTTGGGGAACTTTATGAAAGGTCATGTTTGGTAGTTGTGATAATGTGAATTGTCTGTCTGTTAGTTCATGACTTGGTAAATTTGATTGCTTTTGATTTTTATCTAACAATGAGTTAGGTTGAGAAACTAAGATGAGCTCATATTAAGTGAAATTTTGACTGATGATGTAACAAAGTTGAAGCTATTCTGCTTGTAATAGTGTTAGTGTAGGACAGACGTGTCAAATTTGAATACTTGACAATGAAGGGAAGAAGAAAGTGGAGAGAAGGTTGGTTACATGGTAAGAGAAGTTTGAATGGGGTGAAATTTATGCATTGAGAGAAGTATGAAGAGCTGATTGATATTCCATGGTAAAAGAATAGTTTTTGAAGCAATTCATGTTAATCTGATTATAGTAAACACGAAAGAGCTCATTTTGGCATAATCGCTGTTCTTTGATAATCATAAATAGAAAGTATTCCAAACCAATATTGATGTATCAGTTTGAAACCGATATTTATGATCTAAGAGGTAATTAGTGGGATTCAAATGAAAATGATGTAAGAAATGATGGAAAAAGAGGTTTGCCATCTAACGAAATTTATGGTCTCAGATGTCATTAGAATGTCATTGTTGTCTGCCAGAGTGTATCTGAATTGCACATAGGTTGTTGTTGCTGTCCAAAAGATAGCTCATATTCTAGGTATAAAATATTGCCTCAAGGTGGTCTTTTTATGGAAGCATGAGTGTGGTGCCTCCCTGTGCTTTCAAGAACAACCAAGCAAAGTGGGAGGCAGGAATTAACAATGTCCGAGTATGTGCGTACTTCCACATATTTTGTTCCAGTTTATATTTTGTGCAGTTCCAATGGAACAACTTATTCCTAATCAATAGGCTCATTAGGCCTGTCTTTTTTGCCCCTTGTGTATGTGCTTTTGGTTCTTAGCTCAATCCATATGGTTACTTATCTATGTTTTTTTTATGTCTTCTCATCGTAGTTGTCTCTGTCTTTAAATAGGTTACATATCCTCATTCTCTGACTCTGTTATTTAACTAAGACTTACATGACCCAAGGAGTAATTTCATATGGTATGTAATTTTACCTTAAGTAGCCAAATTAAAAAGCTTAAGAAAAGATTGTTTCTGAGACAACCTTAGCCTCCCTTCAGCTGGTGCTTTACCTGCTTTAATCTCTTTTCAAAGATTAGTGTTCTGTCTATCACTAGTCTCTTGTGAGGTTTTCAAAACATTAGCTGTTGAGAATTTCTGGGTTCGAAGAGCATCATGCTAAGAACATGTTTGCATAAAATGGTTTACATGCACTCTACTATGGTCAATCTCTTTGGCACATAGTGTTTGTGATTTAACCAGTCACATGTACTATATATGCGTCCCTTCTGTTTTCCCCCTTATCAGTAACAACACTTAAATTTGTAATTAGGTTATAGCTATTGATCCTCTATAGACAACAGGCTTGAAAACAATGTATTTCTATTGGCTTTTGTCTTCCTAAGCACAACGTGTTGATGCCTTGATGGTCTTTTCAGTCATCACTCTTCCAGTGATTAACTTGTTCCATTATTATTGACCTGCCAGTGTCTTTTAACTTATCCATGTGGAGGTATACAATATCGCATGCTTCCATAAAGAGAAAAGAAAAGCCAAGCTAAAAGAAATTCTAGATTTATTGCTTGTATTTGTGCTGTTGACACTACATACAACTAGGAAAAAGGAAAGGGATTACTTGCTAATCAGCTTCTTCTTTTATTCTCTTTTGCATGTTGGGACTAGGGGCTAGAGTTTGCATATCCTTTGATATTTTTTATTATCTTATTCTCAGAAGGGTTGAGTGGGTGAGGGGTAGGGGTTAACAAGGAAGTACTCTCCTGTACTCCTACCAGAGAAGAAGCAAATGGAGAAATCTTCTCCCGTGTGGTGCCTAGTACTGCCCTCATCTACAGACCAAGAAAAAGGTCAATATTCCATCCACCTTTAGCACCCTCTCAAGCTTCACAACAAACGCTTCCTTAATTGATCACTACACCATACGCCAGCTCCATTTGCATATTGGCAACCTTACAATTACTTGACCTATTTATTATGTACAATTACTTGATAAAAGATTTGTCTTTCTGTCAATATTTGTTGATGACCAATCAACCCCTTTGGGAAATTTCATATTCTTAATGAACTATTCAAAGTGGTGATCATTGGATTTTCTGTTCTTAAACATAATATCCAGCTTTAGGAGTTGATGTTAGTTGTACACTGAATTGATTCTCACATTTTGGCAATAGCTTATCTATATGTTTGCTAATACATCTTAACAGCTAAATATTTTGCATGTTTTTCGACTTACTCAAAGAAAAGAAGAAATTTTGCTTGTTGTATGCTATGTACTCTCATTCAATAACTTCCATTTGTTATTTGATTCACTGGATTAAGAATGTAACTTTGGGAGTATTCACACACTAATTTGAATTTTTGCTATAATATGCCTTTTAGGATATGATTGGTGCTCTCCTATCTGAGCATGACTGGCTTCGGTCCATCCGGATGGCTTCATATGGATTTTTGTTATATGGTCCTGGTACTTATGCATGGTACTCGTATCTTGACAGATGTATGCCCAAGCAAAGCGTGGAGAATGTAATGATGAAGGTAGTTATGCTTCTGAGAAGAACCTCTTTCATGATGAGCTTGACCTACCAATGAAGAAAGAACTGCTTCTATATGAGTTTGACCTGTCCCTCTAACTAGTACTGTTAATACTCTTTGTTTCAGGTTTTATTAAACCAAATAGTGCTAGGTCCTTCTGTAATAGCTGTTATCTTTGCATGGAATAATTTATGGCTGGGGAAACTTTCAGAACTTCCAAACAAGTATCAGAAAGATGCCCTTCCAACTTTATTGTTCGGTAAGCACTTCCATATGACATACCTTTGCCGGTTGCTTTAACTCCTTCTCCCTAGTGAAGTTTGATTTCATCCTTCATTCTCTTTCAGGATTTAGGTTCTGGATCCCTGTCAGCATTTTGAACTTTTGGTATGTCTTTTACTACTCCTTTGCCCCTTCCCCAACCCTCATCCCAAAAGATGGACAGATATAAAACAAAAACTTCTCATAATCTCTGTTAGTCTAGCTGTAATGGAGATCTTCTCATTCTCGTAAAAATGTTTTTTCTGAGATCATAGATGTTATTTTTACATCATTTGCTTAGATATCTTCTCTATTACCCTTGCATACCATGCTCACTACCTCAATTAGTATCAATGCCGGAAGTCACATCTAAACTGTTCCGTTTCTGGAATTGTTTTCTTACGTTTCATCTTTCTTTGCATTCAGCATTTGTTCAGCAATACAGTCCATATGTTGGTAGTGTTACTGTATTTTGAGCTATGGCTTGTGCACCTGCAGTCAATTTACTGGCTTTAAGCTTGTTTTCTGAGAATTTAGAGTGTTTTGCTTTTACATAAACGACTTGTCACTCATCTGCATTAGGTGTGAGCATGCATGTAAGATTATTAATCTCCACAAAGGATATGTCATCACGCACAGCCCTATCGCTTGATCCCGCAGAACACTTATTTTGTCATTAGATTCTTCATTGGCAGTTGTAAATTTCTCTTTTTGGGCTGCTGAAAGGATTTTCATTTGTGGTTTGGTGTTATTAAATTTTATTGATCTTTGTCATCAGACAATTTATTGGCAAATGGCATATGCAAGTCACAATTTTCTCCCTTTTCATGTATTTGGTTCTGAAAACATGCTACTGTTAATATCAGTTCATTCAGGTTGAGTTATGTGGTTATACTAGTAACTGAATAGTCTTTAGTATAATGAAATATGACAACTTCTGTGTTGAAAAATCATAGGGCGATTCCTCTTCAAGCTCGTGTTGCGTTCATGTCTATGGCTTCTATATTCTGGAATTTCTGTTTGTCAGCAACTATGAGCAAGTAACTGTCGTTGAAAGGATTAGCAGGGAAGAGCAGGTTAGTGCACACGCCTAGCCCAATATTTTAGTTCTAGTAAATGTCATGTCACATATAAATATTAATCTGCTAATTTTAGGATCACACAATTGATATAAACGTCAGTCAAGACACAGAAAATGATGTCTGGAGGCAACGGTTGAAACCATTCTGATTTTCCAAAGATGGCTCGCACCAGGTTCGACAGTGCCTCAGCTCGCACTAACTACATATGATTTGTTTCTTCATTGCTACAAGTTCTCCAAGAATATAGTTTTCTTCAGTTTACGAGTGCTATAACGAAAGACATTTGATTGGCTTGTTCGACCAATTCTTTCGTTAATTTGCTTTCTTTGTCTGGTTTTAGGCCTTCTTTTCCCTGTCTCAAAACAAAGATTTTGCAGTACATAATTTAAAAACAAGTGCTGCTACATTTTATATACGAAATGATCATGTCAAATTCTTCTGATTATGTGTTATTGTTATATCATTGATAAGCATAATGTCAAAGTCATATGTATCGGTTACGCCTCAATTTTAAACCAGTTGAGCTCGACTATATGAATTCTCTGTGACCGTTCCACTCCATGAATTTATTATTCATACGTTCAGTCTCCTCTAGCTTCCGTTCTTTAGAATTTGATTCCTTTCTCACTTATGACGGTTCTGCTTCTGAAATTCCAAATATCTGATTCATCAAAACTCTGTAAAACGACAAGTCAGTGAAAGACAGGAACTGTCATCCGTTGATCTTGCTGCACTGGAAACTCACTTTAAGGGTGTGTTTGGTAGGGAGGAAAATGGAACATGTGGAAATAAGTTGGTTTCTTATTTATTTTCTGGTGTTTGCTAAGTAAGCAGAAAATATTATCCCAAAAAGTATTGACTTAACACAAGAACAATAAATAGAATGACAATTTTAGTACTTCTACCGTCCATCTTTAATTGTCTACTATACTATTTTGGGATGTCCAACAATATTTGTTCAGTTTATGAAATCAATGAATAATTTATCATGTTCTGTCTATTTTACTCTTGCTATTAAATACTATTCATTTTTCAAAGTTTAAATGACTTATACACCCTCCGTCCACTTTTAATTGTCATGTTGCGCTTTTCGAAAGTTAAATTAGATTACATTAATTTGATATTATAAACCAAAAAATTATATATTCAAAAACTATACGAAAAGTACTATAAATTGCAACTTTTTGCATATCAATATGATGAAAAAATACATCGTAAAATCTTAGTCAAAGTTCTTATAGTTTGACTCTAAAAAGGAAACTATGACGATTAAAAATGAATAGAGGGAGTATTTAATAAGGGTGTTTTGGTAAAATTACCTATATCATTTACTGCTTTTTAATTTCGGTATCAAGCCAATAGTGGACAACTATTGTTGGACAAAGGGAGTAGTAAATTTAATGATTAGGGAAATGATTATAGTTTATAGTAAGGGTAAATTAGGAACTAGGTGATAAACTATTGGTTGATTTTTCATACTAGATAAGCAAAATTGAGCATTTTTTTTAAGAAGATATTTTTCAAAAATTTTGATCAACGAGAAAATTCAAGAATGTTTTCCTCCTTATCAAACACACCCCAAGTTAAATTATGAAAAGAATCTTTCTCCAGAACCAAGTCACTTATACCAACTACACAACACACAGCCAAGAACAGGATTCTTTGCTTCTCTATTAGACAAGCACCTTTTGATTGAGAAAAAGAATAACATTTCACCTCAACACACAGTATTATAGTAGTAATTTAAAGAGAAACTCAAAAGCTGCTATACATCAAATATATTGTGCCATTAATTCTCCCAAAACTGAACAAGGGTAATCAAGAGGAAATTCTACAAACATGAACAGCAACAGGCCTCATAATTTTACACCATATGAAAATTGGAGCAATGGAGAGTGGCATGATCCTAATTCACATGGACCTGAGCACAGATGGCAACCCATTTTCCCTCGTCCTCCGCCTCCCCGGGATATCCCTCAGGTATTCTCGACATGAAACATTGATATACATGTTAGTTCAGTGTTGAGAACTTTAAAGGTTGAACATATCAAACTTAAATTCTGAATCCGACTCTAAAGAAAGCTCCTATAATTGATTTAGAAGTGTTTTGTGTTGCACAGAGAAGTAGATATACATGTTAGTTCAGTGTTGAGAACTTTAAAGGTTGAACGTATCAAGTTTAAATCTTGAATCCAATTCTAAAGAGAGTTCATATAATTGATTTGATTTAGAAGTGTTTTGTGTTGCACAGAATCCTAGACGTGTCGTTCATGATCCATGGTTGCCTGTAACAGAGAGCCCATTTCTAGTACCTACTGGTGCAACAAGGTAAACTTATCTTCTATCTTTTTTTTTTTGTCAAAATCCAAGATTGATCATTTCAAGAACCACTTGCAGCTATCCATATCCAGGCCAACCACGACGTAGGCTAACTCATCCTCCTGTTCGCGTTCTAGTCCATAATGATGATGTACCAAGACATGGATCATATCAGAGACCAAGCCAACTTCCATTTGATTCTCCTCCTCCTCCATGGTTTATGCAGAGCAATGACACGTCGAGAGATGAATCAAAATTGAGCCCAAATGAGCAAAAGGCAACCTTGAATAAGCTCAAGAAAGAGATCTACAATCCTGTACAAGCAAAAATTGCAAAACAAGTTGGCCTTTACTTTAGAGGCTTGAACAATAACATAAACAACACTACCACCAACGAATCGAGCAAGGATGAAGATGGCAAAAGATGTTCAATTTGCTTAGAAGATTTTGAGCCTAAAGAAATGGTGACAGTCACACCATGTAGTCATATGTTCCACGAAGACTGCATCGTTCCATGGGTGACAAATCATGGCTCGTGCCCTGTCTGTCGATTTGCTATCTGTGAAAGGATGAAACAGGACACAACAGACTCATCGGCGCCAAGGACTAGTAGAGCAACAAACACAATGCCACCACATGACTTGATGATGGAAAGGGGCCTAATTTCTATAATGAGAGCATTTGATGAAACTTTTGAATTGGATCAAATTAGATCCCTTCTCTTACCAAGATTAACAAGAGGCTAAGTGGGGTTGCTTAAATTTTTAGGCTAATGTTACTACTTGCCTTTGGTTTATTACTTGTATGAACACACAACCAGAACATGTATTTGTTCTGTCTTACAAATGAATTATATCTTACTTTAATAAAAAAATGTCTCTTTCACAACTTGATGTATGTACATGTTTTGATAAGGTCTAGATTCTTGTAAGTGGAGATTTGTCAAGCTACTTTGCAATTGTTTGTTATCTATTACTCGCTCCGTCTCAATTTATGTGGCACCTTTCGAATTTCGAGATTCAAACTACTAGTCTTATTTTGACGGTAATTTTCTCATATATCTTTTCAATATCTTGAATTATGAATTTATCGAGATTTATAATACTTTTTTAACGTAGTTTTCAAATTGTATGTAAATTTTATTTTGAAAAGGTTAAAAGTTAAAATTATACAGTTTGACTCTTGAAATTTAGACTGTCACATGAATCGGGATAGAGAGGTATATTGAAATTGCAGTCACTTCTTCAGATGCTTATATATAAAAGCAAGTTGTCCATCAAAAGTAACAAATCTAATCCTTTTAGGCTGACTAATTTCCGATTAAAGGTCTTGTACATATTACTTCCGTCCACTTTTAATTATCATAGTTTACTTTTTTAGAGTTAAATTATAAAAACTTTGACCAATATTTTACGATGTATTTTTTCATCATATTGATATGTAAAAAATTGTAATTTGTAGTATTTTTCATATAGTTTTTGAATATCTAAATTTTAGTCAAATTGAATTTAGAAAAACACAACATGACAAATAAAAGTGGACGGAGGGAGTAGTTTAAACTATTTCACTGCATCATACTAACTAAATTATAAAGCTACTAAACTTAAAAAAATTCATCCTACTCTTAATCAAACTCTTCTATAAGGTCAGAGACGAATCTAAGATTTGAAGTTTAGAAGTATTGAATTTTATCTTTTGTTACTAAATTCTAAATTAGTAATAATTTTGCAAATATTGAATAAATCATTTTCTATAACAAATACAAGATCTAAACAAATGTTATTCAGTTCTACCCAATTTGTTTTTGGGCGGGGATACAATACAAAAAATTTAACAATCAACATAAATATACTATATTTAAACTAACAACACATACAAACAGAAAATTACAGAAGTTACAATTCCATCTACACTTTGTTTGGATGGTTGTTACCCGTTGTATTATATTGTATTATTAGTTTAAATACAATATTTGTTTTGATTGTTACTTAAATTTTATCATATCATATCGTTTACATCCGTCGTTTGGTAACACAATAAGACTCATTTTGTATAACGACTGATTTGGTGTAATTGTGTCGTTACCTTAATATTTTCTTTCCATAATAGTTGTACCACGTACCCTACAATTTCTTATAGATTTATCATTCAAATCATGGATATATGACATTATATAACGAAGGAGAACGATACATCTATCAAAACGTTGTTTCATTAAAACAACACAATATAATATAATATAATATAATATAATATAATATAATATAATATAATATAATATAATATAATATAATATAATATAATATAATATAATATAATACGATATATTATGAAATTATGATATAAAAACCAACTAAACAAAGTGCTAAGCTCATTGTCCCACCATATACACCACATAAATTGCTTGTATGGTTATGATAAAACCACCTAAGGCAAGAAATAGAAGCAATTTGACTAAATTACTGGCCACTCAGATTGATGAAAATCTGCCATGAAAATCCAAAAACATTCTCAGAAAATATATCTCAGAATCATCCATTGAGATAAAGCCACGTACCCAAATCCCAAGCCACATCTGTAACCTCTAAATTAACCTTACGACTCATCTTCTTCATCATCATCTTCTTCCCTTACAACCCTTTCTGTTACTGAGTAATCTTCCCTCTTTCAACTTATCAGGTACTTTCTCTTACTCTTCTACTACTGCTAGACTTGTATTTGAATGCTTTAGCTCTGAATTTGAAATTACTAGCTGCCCTTTTATGTTTGGCTCACAAACTGTTTGTTATAATGCCTCAGTGAATGATCTTTCACATGTAGGCTGTAGTTTGTAAATGAAAAAGAAACACCCACATCAAGATTTGGTTTAGTTTGATCTTTACCCCCCACCCCCACACACAAAAATATGCACTTGGCGCGAATCTGGATTAGTTGGGCTCCAAAGTGGGTACTGGATACTGGGTGGGAAAACCAAAAAGAATATAGCTTTGGCTTAGTTTCTTGAAATGGGGGAAAGGGGATTTTTGTTTACTTCAAGGTTGATTTTTTATTTGAATTTTTGACATAACTAAGTGTGTTGTTACTTGTCTCACTTTGATAGCTTGGATAATGATGAGGGAAGTGATACCCAGATGCCAAGCTAACATTTTTCTACAGAAAGTGTTGAAATTGGAAATAATTGTTTGTTATAATGCCTCAGTGGATGATCCTTCACCTGTAGGCTGTAGTTTGTATATAAAAAGAGACACATTTTTCTACAGAAAGTGTTGAAATTGGAAATAATTGTTTGTTATAATGCCTCAGTGGATGATCCTTCACCTGTAGGCTGTAGTTTGTATATAAAAAGAGACACATTTTTCTACAGAAAGTGTTGAAATTGGAAATAATTGTTTGTTATAATGCCTCAGTGGATGATCCTTCACCTGTAGGCTGTAGTTTGTATATGAAAAGAGACACCCACATTAAGATTTGGTTTAGTTTGCACTTTAGCTCTGAAAATAGACTTTTCGATATGTGAACCTGGATTAGTTGGGCGTTGAAGTGGGTATTGGATACTGGGTGGGAAACCAAAAACAATATAGATTTGGCTTAGTTTCTTGAAAGTTGAAATTGGGAAAAGGGATTTTTTACTTCAAGGTTGGTTTTGGATTTGAAATTTTGGCATAACAAAGTGTGCTGTTACTTGTCTCACTTTCATATTTTGGTTAATTATGAGGGAAGGTACCCAGGTGCCAAGCTAACATTTTTCTAGAGGAAATGTTGAAATTGGAAATAATCAAAGGCTTAAAACGAGCGATTTTTACTTTAAGGATGGGTCTCCTTCACTCTCTTGCAAATTGCACAATTTGAAATTGAAAGAAGCATTCGGAATCATGTCTCTTTTTAACTATCTATGTAAATGTGAAGATTTGAGGATTCTTTTGATATTTTATGGGTTTTTAAAACTTAAATGGAGATTCATGTTTTAAACTATTTTTCTTTGTTATACTTGTATTATATACATGGTAAACCAATAGAGTACAGATGTGTGCAAGTATCGTTATGTATGCTTGCAGTTCCTTATTAATTTTTCGTGTATTTTAAAGAATATGCATGAATAACCCATACCTATATCAGATCTGTTTGATACAGGTATTCTAAAAGTAAATGATTCATGTAATATAGGTTAACTTCAAAAATCAGTTGCGAAGCATTTACATGCCATCAATAAAGGGAACTAGGAGTTCTTTTTGATAGATGAAATAAGCTTAAAATGGGTTGCTGAATTGTCATCATTGAGATCAGTGCTACTTGAGATGAAGAACACAAAAGGGAAAAAGTTGTCATACCAGTGTTTTCCCAATAATTTTTGAAGTAATTTATATGGGCATGATGTCAGTCCTTTGCCTGATTGATTTATTTCCTTGTAACTTGCAGTTGTCAACTTTATCATGTTTCCTTTGCAGATTTATCATTAGAAGTGAACTGTGCAGGTTCTTGCTTCTTTTCTGAGTGTATCAACATGGCTACTTCATCAGTATGCATAGCAGGAAATGATTTGTTTACCCATAGAACACAGAAAGTTTTTAGGAAGGAGATCTATGGCAGAAAAATTTCATACTCCTCAAATCTTCCATCATCTAGAAAAACATCAAGAGTAGTTGTAAAAGCATCCCTTCAGCAAGGGCCACATGAAGGAAGAAGAGGCTTTCTCAAATTATTGCTTGGAAATGTTGGGCTTGGAGTGCCTGCTTTGTTAGGTAATGGGAAAGCCTATGCTGATGAGCAAGGTGTTTCTAACTCAAGGATGTCTTATTCTAGATTTTTGGAGTATCTGGACAAGGATAGGGTGCAAAAAGTAGATTTGTTTGAAAACGGAACCATAGCTATTGTAGAAGCTGTATCTCCAGAATTGGGAAACCGGGTGCAAAGAGTTAGGGTACAACTACCTGGACTCAGCCAGGAACTCCTTCAAAAGTTCCGGGAAAAGAACATTGATTTTGCTGCTCACAATGCTCAAGAGGACTCAGGTTCTCTCATATTCAACTTGATTGGAAATCTGGCTTTCCCGCTTATTTTGATTGGTGGTCTTTTCCTGCTATCAAGGCGGTCTAACGGAGGAATGGGAGGTCCTGGTGGGCCTGGTAACCCACTAGCATTTGGTCAATCAAAGGCTAAGTTCCAAATGGAGCCAAACACTGGTGTGACATTTGATGATGTTGCTGGTGTAGATGAAGCAAAACAAGATTTTATGGAGGTCGTAGAATTTTTGAAGAAACCTGAGAGATTTACTGCAGTGGGGGCTCGTATTCCAAAAGGTGTTCTTCTTGTTGGTCCTCCTGGTACTGGGAAAACCTTGCTAGCAAAGGCAATTGCTGGTGAAGCAGGTGTTCCATTTTTCTCAATTTCAGGCTCAGAATTCGTTGAGATGTTTGTTGGTGTTGGAGCCTCTCGAGTCCGTGATCTTTTCAAGAAGGCCAAGGAAAATGCTCCTTGCATTGTATTTGTTGATGAAATTGATGCTGTTGGGCGGCAAAGAGGGACTGGAATTGGAGGAGGAAATGATGAAAGGGAACAGACCCTGAACCAACTATTGACTGAAATGGATGGTTTCGAAGGAAATACTGGTATAATAGTTGTTGCGGCAACCAATCGTGCAGATATTCTTGACTCTGCTTTGCTGAGGCCAGGACGATTTGATAGACAAGTAAGCATCTGTCCTTGCCTCCGTTTTTTAACTGAGACTTTTGCAAGAAACTAAAATTTACAGCTCTTATCTAGGTATCCGTGGATGTTCCAGACATCAAGGGAAGAACAGAGATCTTAAAGGTTCATGCCGGCAACAAGAAGTTTGATTCAGATGTGTCTCTTGAAGTCATAGCCATGAGGACACCTGGTTTCAGTGGAGCAGATCTTGCTAACCTCTTAAATGAAGCAGCCATTCTTGCAGGTCGACGTGGTAAGACAGCAATCGCATCCAAAGAGATTGATGATTCAATTGATAGGATAGTGGCTGGTATGGAAGGAACAGTCATGACTGATGGCAAGAGCAAGAGTCTGGTGGCATATCATGAAGTTGGACATGCCATCTGTGGGTGAGTGCTTCACCATTAGCTATTTACTCCTAGCTCCCAATTTGCATCTATCATATAAGCATTTTTTATGACAATATTATGACTCTATTATTGTGTTGGCATTTTAATTACCCAGCAGTGATTTCAACAGAATATCCTGGTGAGCCTCTAATGGCACTATGTGTTCTTTGCCTTGCAGAACTCTCACTCCAGGGCATGATGCTGTACAAAAGGTCACTCTAATCCCACGTGGTCAGGCAAAAGGTTTGACCTGGTTCATTCCTGCAGATGACCCAACCTTAATATCCAAGCAGCAACTCTTTGCTAGAATTGTTGGTGGACTTGGTGGAAGAGCTGCAGAAGAAGTGATCTTTGGTGAACCTGAAGTGACCACTGGTGCTGCTGGTGATTTGCAGCAGATCACTGGTTTGGCAAAACAGGTATACATGTTCACTGTATTTTTCGTGTTAAGGATTCTGGAACGGAATATATGTTGAGGTAATCTGTGGAGACTAGAAACTCTACAGATTGATTGGTTTGAATTAACCTATACTCCCCTCTTTCCTTCAAAAGATTATAGAGATAATGAGCGATATAGTTATTCCCTCTGTTTCAATTTATGTGGTATAGTTTGAAAGATTTTTGGAACTTGTGATCTTAAACATGCCATGAAATTTCTATGAATGAGAAGTCTAAAGTTAAAATTGTTTTCAAATATAGAAACGTGACATTCATTTTGGATAAGACTAACAACAAAATAGTGCCACATAATTGGAACGGAGCGGGTAGTTTTATCTTCTTTTTTAAGTCTGAAACTTATCATTCTGAAGATCTCGTTCTCGATGACTTAGTCCTGTAAAATGACAAACTGTGTATGCAGATGGTTGTCACTTTTGGGATGTCTGAACTTGGCCCATGGTCACTCATGGATACTTCAGCCCAAAGTGGTGATGTAATCATGAGAATGATGGCCAGGAACTCAATGTCAGAAAAGCTAGCTGAAGACATTGATGTTGCTGTGAAGAAGCTTTCAGACAGAGCATATGAGATTGCATTGAGCCAAATCCGCAGCAACCGTGAAGCAATTGATAAGATTGTGGAAGTCCTTCTTGAAAAGGAGACGATGACTGGAGATGAATTCCGTGCTATTCTCTCAGAATTTGTTGAAATTCCTGCTGAAAACCGCGTCCCTGCTGCTGTACCTACCCCAGCAGCTGTATAATAGCTTGAACATATACTGCAACTTGTACAATTCATATACACTTATCCACCTAATTGATCTAGAGTATAAACAATAGACTATAAGAAAGTTAAAACACTTTTGTGCATTTGTGTTGGAAGCAATTTTTCACATTTGAAATAGAATTAGTCTTTTCTTCATTGTAATGCTATGAGTTGTTTCCCTTGCTTTGAGCATTACTCAGTGCACAAACTCCTTGTCACGACCCAATTCATCAAGGGGTTAGTTTAAACATCAGGTACGAATAAGTTCTTACCCTTGAGCCTCTCATAGCAACAACATACTAATATTATTCCAAAAGTGGGGTCTGACCCGGAATAAACTACTACTTTTTTCATTTGAGATAAGTGATCTCAGAGGAATTATCTTTAACTATACATTGTTTTATTTATCTACTTAAACTATCACTCATGTATATTAAAAACACACTCTGATGCTGAGTTTACCTACACATGATTGTTAACGAGTGGGAACAATATCTGGCCATAGAAGTTCAAACAATAATCTTTGCTTAAATAACCAGTCGGATTTATTGTTTGTTTTTCTTAGTCGATATACAAAATTATACAATTACATATATTACGATAATTTTAAGTGATTATGTGGACGGCTATTTATGTTAATTCTTTTAGATAAAAAACAAATCAATAGACAACTTATAAAGGTATGCCAAAATAAGCTCAAATGAATGGGACAGTCTTGTGTGAGACCTCTGAGATTTCTTCACCTCCGGTCAGCAAACACTCGCCGGTTCTCGGCAGCCGCCACTGAGCTTTCAATTCTATGTTCTCAAGGTTACGTAAAAGAAGCTTTCAACAAGTTCTCTTTCTTAATATGGGACAACCCATCTCATTTCTCTTACCTTTTACAAGCATGCATCCAAGAAAAGTCCTTTTCCCTCACCAAACAGCTGCATTCTCTCATAGTAACATCTGGGTGTTTCAGGGACAAGTTTGTTTCCAATCACCTGCTTAATGCTTACTCAAAATTGGGTCAGCTAGATATTGCAGTTTCACTGTTTGATAAATTGCCTAAAAGAAATGTCATGTCTTTTAACATTTTGATTGGTGGGTATGTTCAAATTGGCGATTTGGAAAGTGCCTCTAAGGTGTTTGATGAAATGGGTGAGAGAAATTTGGCTTCTTGGAATGCTATGATTACTGGGTTGACTCAGTTTGAGTTTAATGAGAGGGCGTTGAGTTTGTTTTCGCAGATGTATGGGTTTGGTTACTTGCCTGATGCATTTACTCTTGGAAGTGTTTTAAGAGGTTGTGCTGGTTTGAAGGATTTGAATAAGGGCAGACAGGTTCATGGTTGTGGATTGAAATTGGGCTTACAGGGCGATTTTGTTGTTGCAAGTTCGTTGGCACACATGTATATGAGGTCTGGTAGCTTAAGAGAGGGAGAGATTGTGATCATGTCGATGCCAGATCAAACTATGGCAGCTTGGAATACTCTTATTGCTGGTAGGGCTCAGAATGGGTGTTTCGAAGGTGCATTGGAGCTGTATAATTTGGTGAAAATCGCTGGGTTTAGACCGGATAAGATAACGTTTGTTAGCGTGATCAGCTCGTGTTCAGAGCTGGCTACAATAGGACAGGGGCAGCAGATTCATTCTGACGTTATAAAAACTGGTGCAATTTCTGTGGTTGCAGTTGTAAGTTCCTTGATTAGCATGTATTCAAAATGTGGGTGTCTAGATGAAGCTGAAAAGATTTTCGAGGAAAGGGAGGAAGCTGATATTGTTTTATGGAGTGCTATGATTTCTGCTTATGGGTTTCATGGGATGGGAAAGAATGCTGTTGAGTTGTTTCATCGTATGGAGCAGGAAGGACTAGCACCTAACCATATTACTCTCTTGAGTTTGCTCTATGCCTGTAGTCATAGTGGGATGAAGGATGAAGGGCTTGAATTTTTCGACTTGATGGTGGAAAAGTACAATGTGGAGCCTCAACTGGTGCACTATACATGTGTGGTTGACCTCCTAGGAAGAGCAGGCTGTTTGCAGGAGGCTGAAGCTCTTATTAGATCTATGCCTGTGAAGCCAGATGGTGTCATATGGAAGACGTTGCTGTCGGCCTGTAAAATTCATAAAAATGCAGATATGGCTAGAAGCATAGCTGAAGAAGTTTTGAGGATTGATCCTGAGGATTCTGCTTCATATGTGCTCCTTGCTAATGTTCAAGCATCTGCTAAAAGATGGAAGAGTGTTTCTGAAGTGAGGAAATCAATGAAGGATAGGGGAGTAAAGAAAGAACCAGGAATAAGCTGGCTGGAGTTGAAGAACCAGGTTCACCACTTTATTATTGGTGATAAATCTCATCCACAATCGGACGAGGTTGATGTATACTTAAAGGAATTGATTGCAGAACTGAAGTTAGAGGGCTATGTTCCTGATACAGGATCCGTTTTGCATGACATGGAATTAGAGGAAAAAGAGTATAACTTGGTCCATCACAGTGAAAAATTAGCCATTGCTTTTGCGCTGATGAACACCCCGGAGGGTTTTCCAATCAGGATAATGAAGAATTTACGAATTTGTGGTGATTGTCACATGGCTATTAAGTACATATCCCAGATGAAAAAACGAGAAATAATTGTACGCGATTCCAGTAGGTTTCATCACTTCAAAGATGGCTGTTGTTCTTGTGGAGATTATTGGTAAGGAGGTTACATTTGACAATCTTACTGTAAGTTATAGACATCCCCCTTTTCACTCAGAGCCTGTTTTTGAACCATTATTCCTCCATTACTTGTAACATTATTCAAAACTTGAAAGAGATTCTATAAATTTCCATTCATATTGAAAGGCCAATATTTGGAATTTTGTACTGAATTTATTTAGCTTCCAAATAACTTCAAGTAAAATTCTAACTTTGGAAACAGCCTCTCACAAGGTAAGGTAAGGCTTGCGTACACACTCAGCCTCTTCGCACTCCACACACTGTATACGTTGTTGTTTGTTGTTGTAGGCTCTTAACTTTGGACATAATATGTAACTAGTTTGCACACATGTTCACTGCATAAGGAAAGTTGCAATAATCATAAACAATTACATCAAATAAACAAGACATTTAATGTGCATGATTTACTTAAATTTGTACATAGCTTTTCTAAGTTGGATATAAGTCTTTCTACTGCAGTGCTTCTAAATTCCAGCACTGTATTTGTTACTGGTACTTGCAATAAAATTACTTAAAGACAAAAAAAAAACTAACTTTAATGGATAAAGGGTTCACTCGACGGGAGTGGTAGCCAAGTGGTGGTCAAGGATACTTGGAATTTAGAGCATAATAAACTTGGTATCAGAGCCTACGATAAGTGGCAGAGCCCTTTACGATTAGAAAACCCTAGACTGTAAAACGAAACATTTTTGCATCGACTTATATCCACACAATGCATTTGATAGGACCATAAAAGAGCAGAGAAATCTTCTCAATTCACATCATTAACCATATACTGTACAGCAAGAAGACTACCAAAACCACTGACTCAATCCAACATAGTTGATGCTTATTGCTAGTCACAGCCATGCCCACTGACACAATGCTAATCTAAACTAGGTCCACATGCGACCAACTTTAAAAAAGAGAACTTCAATATACTACCAATTCAAGTATCAAGCAGCCACAAAGCAGTCTTCAGTTAAAGCTTTGCCACCACAATTGGTGTAAACAACCTGAACTTCATTTAGTTCCAGCATAATTCAGGAATGATCAAATCTTTCGTCTGTACTAATAAATTCTCTACCTCATTTGGTCTTACAGAAACCATGTCTAACATCTTTGGCTCGTCCCACCCCTCTTGTGGTTCTCTGATTCTGCATAAATGATAGTCGCCCTCCAGCACTTGATGGTTTCTTTTCAAGCAGTCTTAGGAATGCGCATTCAATTCTATGTTTCTCCCCTTCTCAGAGATATATTACATCCAGGCTAATGATAAAAGAATAGAACAATCAGAAAGGAAAGAATGATTGAACAGAATTTGAGACTCCACTTTCTTAAACCTCGAAACCGAAATCAAATGGACAATGTGCCATCTTCAGACCTGGAATGTACATTCAGTAGAGAAGGTAACCAAAGCAAACAAAACATCTGGTAGCTACATTCAGTCGGAGTCCGCAGGTTCATCATCGGAAGTCACTGGAGTATCAGTGGCATCAGCAAGGGAGTCTAGCATAAGCACCACCTCGGATGTGTCATCCAAGTAATACTTTGCTTTGCTAGGTTTTTGTCCAACTGTGCAAGCAAATACCTTGGCATCATATGAAATAATATTTCTGGACAAAGCATCGCCAATGATTTCAAACATATCTTCATCTGATCTATCATCACCAATGCAAAGCACAAAATCCGCCAGTTTTCCTTTCACTGCTAAAGATGTAAAGACTTTTTCTGCAACTAAACCTTTGGTGACCCCCTAAAATGAAAAGAGAAAATTAATGTTATTCAGAACACATGCTAGGATCAACACATTAGTGACTGCAACCAACCTTAAAAATACACGTCAAAAAGCGTTAACGAAAACGATATATTTAAGATACTCAAGAATTTGACAATAGCCATCAGAATAGTGAAAAAGAACACACTACTATTGTTGTTAAAATTATTACGTTAACAATATCTTTTTCTAGACAGGAAATATATGCCAGGTAGTCACTTGTCACTAGCAAAGAAATTGCAGTTCTCAACCAATTACTTGAGTAAATACTAAAGGCTCTTTAGCTCGCAAATAACCTACGCATGGATTAATGGCACATCAATTAAAAAATAACACTTTTATTTTCTTTGGCGATGCATGTATTGACGCAGCACATACAAAGGGAGGTGCTTTGGTGCATGTTATTTGGAGATGACATAGTACTTGTTGACGAGACGCAGAGTTAACGACAGGCTAGAGGTCTGGAGACAGATCATGGAGTCTAAAGGTTTTGGATTGAGTAGAAATAAGGCAGAGTACGTGGAGTGCAAATTCAGTGTTGTGACACGCGAAGGTAATGTGGAAGCGAAGTTGGATTCTCAAGTCATCTCCACGAGAGGGAGTTTCAAGTACCCTGGGGCTATTATCCAAGTTAATGGGGAGATTGATGAGAATGTTGCACATAGCATTATAGCGGGTAGTTGAAATGAACGCTAGCATCTGGTGTGTTTTGTGATAAGGTGACGCCAAAAGTTGAAAGTAAGTTAAAACTTTGTTGTATGGGGCGGAGTGTTGTTGGCTAGTCAAGAACTCCCATGTCCAGAAGATGAAAATTGCGGAGATGAGGATATTGAGATGGATGGGTGGGCTTACTTAAGAGAGTTATGGTCAAAATGAAGATATTTGGGAAAAAGTGGGAGTGGCCTCCATGTCGGACAAGATGCAGGAGGCAAGGCTGATATGGTTAGAGTATGTCAAGAGGAGTTCCACAAGACACACTAGTGAGGAGGTATGAGAGGCTGATGTTAGGGATTGAGGAGAGGTAGAGTAAGGTAGGCCGAAGAAGTATTGGGGAGAGGAGTTTAGGCAGGACATGCCAAGTCTTCAGCTTACACCAAGGGTCATGGATATGACCCTTGATGGGAGGGTGTAGAGGTCGAGAATTAGGGTACAAGGCTATAGTAGGTAGTCTTGCATTCTGTTTTTCCTTTTGAGTAGCATTAGTATTAGTATTAGTATTATTGAGATGGTTCGCATTCTGTTTTTCCTTACGAGTAGCATTAGCATCAGTACAAGTCTTGTGCTTTTTATTATCATGTTGTTGTTACAGCTTAGTGCTTATGTTTCCATATATGTAGTGTTTATGCTTGCCTTGAGTTGATGGTCTACCGGAAACAACCACTCTACCTGCACAAGCTAGGGTACGCTCTACCCTCCCAATACTCCACCTTGTGGGATTACACTGGGTATGTTGCTGGACTAAAAATAACCTATGCATTTAATAGGGAGGATGATAATACTGAATTACATAAAGGGATAGCTAATGGAGATTGATGCAAGCTTGAAAGCATTACCATCCGCACTTACTAAAAAAGAATATACACCATCCTTATAAGCAATATAACCAACTAGCGACTCATAAAGCAAATGCCATACTTAGGGTGTGTTTGGTATAAGGAAAACATTTTCTTACTTATTTTCTACTGTTAGGTAAGTAAACAAAACATATGATCACAAGAACATTTATATGTAATCAAGCAAAACACTTTGAGGGTGGGATGGGGTGGGAAGGTGAAGTGGTAGGGACGAGGAGTGAGATTGTCAAGGGGTGGGGGTTAACAGCTAGGTGGGTGGGAAGGAGACAATGAACTTGTTTCCCAGAGAAAATGTTTTCCAAAATAACATGACCAACCAAACATGGAAAAAGCTGGAAACCTCATAACCAAACACACCCTTAGTGTGGAGATCAGCACAATTATCACATACAGGAAACCAAAGGATGTATAAGGTTCTATGGTCAACACGATCATATTTCTCATCTAAACACCGATAGCTAATAAAAGAGTTTTATCCAGATTACAGGCAAGTGGAAATCAAACACTGTTTTTGGGAGAGGAGACTAATCAATACGAGAAGAAGTCATTTACTAAGGACGCTAGGTAACATTTCTGAAGTGTAAATCTTGGAATATAAGCAACAAATATGAATCAAAACATATGGAAATTGGGATAAGTAATACGTGCCTGAGGCTTCACTTCCACAATGTGCTGACCGCTTTTCACGGCAACCGGCTCATTCGCTAAAACACTCTCCAGATGATCAAGCATCTCCTTTGCCTGAGAAAACCCAAATCCAGAATCCGCATCACTATACTGCCACACTATAGCACTTTCCTTTCTTTCTATGCAAGAACCATCTGTAGCGTCTGTATAGGATTGCATCACAGGTTCAGCAAGTTGCATCCACCCAAAATCAGAGGTCTGACTGCATACTTCCCATTTCTGTTCTCGTTCCCATCTGCATTGTCAGACTAAAAATTAGCAAACACAAAAGAGAAAAGATTGACCTGGCAAACAACAAACCCTAATTCTTGCACAATAGAGATTTGAGAAGGCACTGGGATGATTGGATTAATGAACTAATTGGAATTTGGAAGTACTGAAAGATGTAAAAGCTGCATAGAATACTAAAGATAATTCTAACAGCTATATCAAATGTTAGGGGCATCCTAAAATGATGAGATGAAAATGACCGATATCACTTTTGCTTCATTTGCAAGAAAACTCCTTTCTTTTTTTTTGATAATGGTATCAGCTCTAACACCGAGTGAGTGTTGCTTTACCAGAACACTAGACTTGTAGACACCATACAAAAAGTAGATACAGGAAGCAGGAATAGTCCATATCAAGACCACAGCAACTAGAATGATTGATATTTTGGATAACATAACCAAAAGAAGCACTAGTCATTTAGACACCAGAATGCAGGAAATATTGATATCAATTGACATTGTACAGGGAAATAGAAGAAACAGACCTCAAAAAGTAGCCATGTTCTGCTGCAAGTCCTAGTTTTCTACAAGGAGAAAACCACTTGGTTAGGCTTTCCCTCCCTCTTCCACTAACAATGAAGACTGTGTTGTTTGGATCACCAGAAAGTTTATTCAGGATGGAGATAACATTAGCACTAGGAGACTTAATGATAGAATTCTGCGGCATCACAGTTCCGTCATAGTCCAGGAATATGGCCCTGCTCTTAGACTTGATATAAGCATTCACAATATCATCAATTGACAGCTTCCTGAAGTTGGGATCTAGGGAAACAACTCTAAACCCAAAGCCTAAACCAATGCCATAGCATCTTTTCCTAAAGTGATCAGCACAAGTTCTCTCCATATCTTGCAAGAAACTTCTCGACCAATAAGCAACATCGTGGGTGCTGACATAACGGTAATGCTTCTCATGTCGTAGCTGTTTCTCTTGTTCAGCCATTGATACAGCCTCATTCATTGCCTCAGCAGTTGCCTCAACATTCCATGGATTAATACGGATCGCCCCACTTAAGGAAGGAGAACACCCAATGAATTCTGACACAACTAGCATGCTCTTGTCAGGTCCACCTACACCTGAATCTGTTTCTGCACCCGATACACCCTGTCGACAAACGATGTATTCATATGGAGTCAGGTTCATCCCATCCCTAACAGCTGTGACAACAACACATTCAGCAACACTATAATAAGCCATGCGCTCGCTACTGGACACGGACCTATCAATATAAACTATAGGCTCATATCCAGGCTTGCCAAATTGCTTATTAATCCTCTTGCAGCTTTCCTGTATCTCAGCCTGTATTTCCTCTAAATCTATTCCTTTACCCCTCATAGGATTGGCAATCTGAACAAGCACAGCCTGCCCTTGCCAACTGGGGTGCTGTTTGAGCATGTGCTCCATCGCTAGAAGCTTTAAGTTGATACCTTTGAAAATATCCAAGTCATCAACTCCAAGCAGAACAGTTTTTCCTTCAAATTGTTGTTTGAGCTCCTTAAACTTCAGCTCTTTATCTGAAATTTTCTTCATAGACTCAATGTGACCCATATGTATCCCTACTGGCATAATCTTGATACCTACTGTCCTTCCATAATATTCCAATCCTATATAACCTCTTTTAGACTGGTACTCTAAACCCAACATTCGACTGCAACACGAAAGGAAATGTCGAGCATAGTCGAAAGTGTGGAATCCAACAAGGTCAGAACATAGAAGAGCCTTAAGTATTTCCTCTCTAACAGGAAGTGTCCTGTAAATCTCAGATGAAGGAAATGGACTGTGAAGGAAAAACCCAATCCTCAATCGATTGAACCGCCTTCTCAAGAACGTGGGCAACACCATCAAATGATAATCATGAATCCAAACAAAATCATCCTCAGGATTAAGCACCTCAACCACTTTCTGTGAAAACATCTTGTTGGCAGAAACATATGCTTCCCACATAGAACGATCAAAGCGGCCTCCATGGTCAGGTGAAAATGGTAACATGTAGTGAAAAAGTGGCCACAAATGCCTCTTGCAGAATCCCTCATAGTATTTTTCCACAATATTAGGTGGAAGAAACGTCGGCACACATCTGAATTTATCCAAAAGATAGCTAGAAACATCATCCTGTTCAATTGGATCAACATCAACAGATAAAGACCCAACAAACAATACTTCCATATCTTCAGGTAAACCATCCTTAAGTCTCAAAAGCAAAGAATCCTCATTCCAACTAAAACTCCAGCCCTTATTATCCGGTCTCCTTTTCGCTTTCAATGGCAACTGATTCGCCACAACAATCATCCGATCACCAGCAAGTGAAGATTGATTATCAGAAGAAACACTAACAGCCTGGTCATCATCCAGTTCACATATACTCCCAGGAACTGTCATTACCCGCGACATCCGTCGCCTATCCCTCTCTCTTCCCATTACTGGAAAATTCCCAGATGCCAAATCCAAAAGATTGGTATACGATCTAGACATCATTCTAACAAAGATTCTTGACTTCCTCTAATTGGGGAATTTCAATTTTCTGCAATTACACCAAACATTTAAGTTTAACAAACAAACCCTAACTCAAGAACATCAAAATCAACCCATAGAACCTAAAAACGTAATCACACAACAAAAGCTGATTTTCTTAATCAAACAGAAACCCATTTAAGTAACAACATACAGAAATGATCTTAATCATACCCAAATGAAAATAAACACCCAAAGTAAATCAAGAATCTCAAAAGTTCAAGTTTCAAAATCATATAAAATACACAAAAACAACAACATGGGGTTGCCAGATTTTACCTCTAAGATTCAAAAAGCAGCAAATCTTGGATCTTTTTCAGTGAAAGACTCGATCTTTAGAGTTGAAGAGGGTGGATTTTAGGGTTTGATAAAGCATAAAAAACAAGAAAGATTTGGGATTTGTTCTCTATATATGTGAAATAAAAAGGGTGATCTCCAAATGGGTACAAAGAAAGTTGCTGGATTATGAATATCCAGAGAAATTTTTTAAAAAAAAATACCTTATTTATTTTTGCATACAAATTGAGTAGTTATAGCTGATCTTGCAAGAAAAAAAAAAAAGATTCTTTTCTTGACCCTGACCTAGAAAAATAAACAAAATAAATAAATAAATAAAAACGTGCGATGCATACGTGAAAGTATTTTTTGTATTTTAAAAATAACCAATTTTTGGATTGTCTATTTTTTGTAGCTAAGGCAACCGAAAGAGGCTAAAAAGGGGAGGGATAAGGATAAAAGAAAAAAAGGTACAAAAATAATTGAGTGAATTGACATTATTTTTTAAACGATGGTAGTGTTCAAGCCGATTTAGATCAGTTACTCTTCATTAATGGATGATGTCCGAGTTAATTCAAATATGCTACCTTTCATCGATAGAAATATGAAAGGTTTGTTCTCCAATCAGGAGTTCGTGAGATGTGCAATCGGTTTCTTACATAAATGTAGGGTAAGATAGCGTGCAATTGATATTTGTGGTCTAGTCGTTCCTCGAATCCTATATATAGTGAGAGGGTAGTGTACCAGACTGTCTTCTTTTGTCCTCCAGGACTTGTGTAAAAAATTTTATCTAAGGATTGTTTGATTCAAAACTGACTAAGATTATCTCGTGATTTTAATTAAGACAGATAATCTCACCTTCAATATAAGATGGATAATTGCATAATTTAGTATAAATATTTTTAAGGTTTTAGCTAATATTCACAATCAAATATAGACAAATTTAATCCCAAATTTATATTGGGATAACCCCCGAACTAAACAATTTTTTGGATCGTTTAGTCGATGAACAAGTTATCTTACGATTGATGATAATGAATTATATTATTAAAACTAATAATAACGAAATTATTTAGTGAATACATAGAATATACAAAGTCTAATATAAAATGTTTATTAGGTTTAAACTATACAAAGTAGGATAAATATATTTTTTTCAATTTAATTTTGATTTTAGGAGAAGGGAAAATGAGTTGTTTTAGTGTTTGATCCTAGGATTATTAATTCCAAAATTATTGTCCTATAAATAATACTACAATTATGAGATAGGCTTACTTGATTGAATTGGATTTTTATGTGTTCCGACCACTTAATAAAAATATTAATATTTGGACAACTCAAATATTAATATTTGGACAGCCTAAATATTGAGGACCTTACATTTGTGTACTAAATCTAAAAAATATAAATTATAAAATATTATGTGTTCTATACATGTTAAAATTGACAACTCACCCAAAATTGTTTAAGAGATAATGGGAGTAAGAAAATATTTGTTGAATGTGATTGATGTTGTCCAAATGCTCAAGTCATCCACGGCCCCTTAAAGTTGTCCGCATAATTCATTTAGACACCTTAACTAGGACTCTTATCTATTAGACACTTTAATATTAACGAACATTTATCTATTGAACATAAAATAAAATGACAACTAGCTTTACAAATATTGTGTGTAATTCACACACATTTTCTTGAAAAACCCACGAATAGAATGACGACACGTGGCACATGGGTCCAAATTTTTAATTTTGAAAAATGAAAAATATTTTCAGCCTTTAATAATCTAGAAAAATTAAATTGAAAAAAGAATAAAAAAGGAAAATTTCTCCCCCCAATTAACCCATTGCCCTTTCTTTTTCATCTTCTTTCCTGTCACTCCACCATGATTCCTTAACGATAACAAAAAAAAAATATCTCCCACCCAGCCCTAATACACCCACCTAATCTTTTGCCTTTTTTTTCTTCCCCTGTCACTCATTGTATTCTATTCTTCCTGTGGTTATTGAAATCTTTGTGAAAATAATCGATGTCGATAAATTATTTCAAAATCGACGATGAAGAGAAATCAAAAGAATATCAATTTTTTAATACCATTTTTAATAAGTTTAATGAACGATGATAGTTACTTGATCGGAGTTATTGAAAATAGAGATGCATGAATGTCGGTTAACTTTTTAACTCCAATGGTCCAATTATTTTCCTTCTTCTTGCAAATTCAATTAGTTTGTTTATAACGAAAAATGAAAAAAATAGAAGAACAAAACAAAAGGCAGAGAATTTGAAGTCTTTAAAATGGTGGGTTGAAGAAGAAGAAGAAGAGGACTTGTACATTGGTGTGGGGTTATTTTCTTTTATAAATAAAGAGATAAATGTTTAATTAAATGAGTTTTTAGTTATTTAATTAATACATGCCAAGTGTCAAGAAAATAAGCACTAATTTATTTTTAAAAATTTTAAAAAAAGTCCATTCACGCGCTCAACAGCAGTGAGTTACACTTATTTCGCCACATCAGCGTTTGTGTTTAATAGGTATATTTTGAACAATTTAGGTGTTCAATAGGTAAGAGTCCTAGTTGAGGTGTCCAAGTGACTTATGCGGACAACTTTAAAGGTTGTAGATGACTTAAGCCAAGTTTAAAATTATATGTTTTTAGTAAAAGTGAAAAAGAGAAGAAAACTATAGTTATCCCACACTAAAAAATTTAATAAAGTTTTTTTCCGATCTTTCATTCGATGTTTAGTACTCAGGTTGTGGTTCGATTATATTTAGATTCTCATGTTATACAATTTATTTTTAAGAATTCAAACTCAAGATCTTTGATTAAAGATAAATAAATCTTCATATTTTAGTATTTGTGTTGTGGCCCGATTATATTTGGATTTTTATTTTATTTGATCTATTTTTAAAAATTCAAACTTGAGATGTCTTATTCAATACGAAGAAATTTTAAATTATTTTCTACGACTCGATAACAAAGTACTTAGTAATTGACAACCACTTCATTAAAGGGATGCCGTAACATATAATTATTGAATTTTATTGATGTCACTCAAGTCTCAACATGCAATTGGTGAATAATAGTACTAATTTTGTACGTCCAAATGAAATACTGAAATTTGAGGATAGTATATTATTCTTCTTTTTTCATTTTCTTTCATTTTTTAAATATATATGGCGAGTAAATCCGTCACGCTAAAAATGTTAAATGTGTAATTTTAATTAAATTTAAATGGGTTAAAATGAGTTAAATTAATAGATAAATTAGTCATAATTTGGGTTGAAATTAATTGGATCATAACTCAATTCGCTCAACTCTATCAAGTTTTATTTTTTTATAGTTTATTTTATTATCTAATTAATAATTACAGGTCGAATAATGCTACTCCAAATAAGCAATTAGGACTTAAAATAAGAAGTGCAAATAAAAATTTCCTTCTTTTAAAAGGAACTATGTAATAGTATTTAATTGGGCATGAAGTTTTAAGAATGAAAAATCAATTTTAAAAAAATTATAATCTAAAATAATTTATGAATTATGTGAATATAAATTAAATTATTAAAAATAAAATAAAATTTTAATGTTGAATTGTAACTAGATATAAAAAGAAAGTTCTTTTTTAAAAAAATTAAATAAAAAAAAAGTATCACATAAATTGAAACGAAAATAATATATCATATATGAAATTATATCTTTCTTCTTTTTTTTTTATTTCCCACCCGGTGTCCAGAGCCCACATTGGAGCTCCGACTAAATTCGGATCGCGCACAGCAGGGCCCATTCGGGAATGGCGCTCCCAACAAGATTTTCTCCATACCCAGAGCTCGAACTCGATACAATCCTTGATATAATATTGTATTTTGGTTTCTCCATATATGAAATTATATCATCTTCATCTATTCTAGTCTTTATATATATCAAGGATTATATAGGCAACTAAGTTTCTATCTTTTCATTCAACTCATTTCGTTTATTTTACTTGCTCTTTTCAGCTCCGAAAGCAAGGAAGAAACTTACACACAGATAGACCAGCCACATAAATTAAATATAGCATTACAAAATGTTGGTGTAATATACCACAAATATAATATATTACAGCTGAAAATAAAATGACAAAAATGGATAATAGGCTGAGGCACGGATATCTTGCTCTCTTTAAGGAGATTCAAGCCCACTGTGGCATAATCTACACCGATCCAACAGTATCACTCTTGACTTGTCCCTTCCAGGATACAATAGCCCAATAACGTGTACAATTCAAACAACTCTGGATTAGTTGAAGAGTCCAAAACTCCACATAAGAACACCTTCCTTCAACATATAAATATTCTCTTGTATAGAGTGAATATAGCTGAAGACTTAGAATATTTTTCTAGGGAGAAGGGACGGATTTACCCCCGAACTTTAATAAATGGTACGTATATGCCCTCCGTTATACTTTCCGTCCACATAAGCCCCTGCCATCCAATTATAGGTACACATATACCCCTCTCACTAACGGACCCCTAATTTCTTACGCGTGTCTTAATCCTATTGAACTACCCGTTTGACCCTTTTTTTTAACCCATAACCCAACTATCTGCCCCACAACCCAATACCCACCCAATTTACTCTAAAAGTTATCCTAATTAAAACACTCAAATTAACACACCAAAATCTGTCCCTTTTCCCTAGTCAGAGGTCCCCGCGTATCTCACACACCAAAACCCTAGTCGTCCCCTCTTGACACACCGCCAAATTGCACACCACCAAGATTACCCTACCAACCATATCGTCGGGTTTGAGCAAATGACAAGTCAATGTCATTTTCCAGGCCAAGTTGAATATCGAATGTGTTCTTTGGTCTCCTCGGAGCTGTCATTGAGAAGATTAATTAGCAGAGATATTAGTTCCATCTGGAACAATTTTCACTTTGTTGACTTGTGCCAACTAGAGGTTGTCTAATGCGACAACGATGTTTGGTTGAACTCCGACAGATAACATCTACAAACAGAGAAACTGAAGTTGGAGGAGGCAGATGATGGGATTTCGTTGGCGATAATCTCTGACAAAATCGATTGCGAAGATGAAGAGGAATAGCTGGAGGGACGAGTAGTAAAGTAAGTAGTGGCAAGTTGTTGACGATGACAGATTCTTCAGAGCTCGAAAAAGAGTTGAAGCAATGATTATTCCTTGATTTCATTTCTGATGCGGTGCGAGAGAGAAGCACATGTGGATTCAACGCTACCCATTGAG